GAGTGCTGATCGCGGGGCGGGGGACGCTGCGCCGACCCACCGGCCTCACGTGGGCACTGGCCCGCCGGGTCGGGTCCTCGGGCGGCGGCCGCGCGCGGGGATATTTTTAAGCCTGTGCTGCATGAGTCATCCGCCCTGTCCCGGTCCCCTCCCAGCCCTGGGGCTTGGTGGGGGGACCCCTGCGTCCAGGGAAGGGGGCGATGCGCGGCCTGAGGACTCTCCCCTGCCCATCCAATGCCCCCACCCCCGACTCGGGAGAGCTGGCCTCCCCTCGGCCGACCCTGTAATGGCACCGCGGCCGCTCCCGTAGGGGGGACGTCAGGAAACGCTTCCTGGGCGTCGGAGCCAAAGGAAACCCGGCCGGGAAAGCACTAGGCTGGGGTCAGGCTCTGGGTCAAGGCTAGGGTGGGAAGTGTCAGGAAGAAGGAGGTGGCGGGGCGGGGCTGCGGATCAGAGGGTGGGCTGGCAAGGAGTTGTGGGCGCCCAACCTGCTGGCCACCCGAGCTCCTGGTCTCTGTGCCAGGAGGGTTGGGCTGGGACTGGCCTTCTGCACAGAGATGTCTCTGGAGTAGGTGTGCCGTGGCAGCCCGGAGACCACTTCTGCCCCCGCCCCTGGGTGCAATTCTCCCCCAGCTGTGCGGCGCCTCCCCTCCCGACTCAGCACCCCTTCCCCTATTCCCCTGTGTCCAGCCTGCGGCCCCAGCCCTGTACCTGTCCCGGGCCCCCTCCCTGTCTTCTCGCCCTCTCGAGTGTGCCTGCCACGCCCAGCTCCCCAGGTTTATCCCCCCAACCGCGCCTCCCAGACTAGGGCCTAGCCAGCTCTGAGGGGATTCCCCCCAGGCCCTACCCTCCCCCGTGGGCCGGCGGCGGAGACGTGCGATAGCAGAGATGCGGCTCCTCCCCAAGGTCACTCGGCGCGCAGGGCTGGAATTTGAACTTGGAGCTGGTCCCTGCGCCCTCCTTGCCCGGCCGGCCCCTCCCCCCCCCCACCAATGTCCAACCGGGCATCTGCCCCGCCCTCCCTGTGCACCCGGAAAATGACCGCACTAAAACCAAAGAGCAGAGAAGACCCTGGAGCCCCTGCCACGCTGGCATGGAGGCTCCCCACCTAGCTTCCCTGGGCTGCATCACTGGCCTTGGGAGGGGCAGGGACTCCATGGGCTGTAGGGTTCCTCCCCCAGGTGCTCCACCCAGATGCCAGCACCTGGCCCCCCCTGCCTGCCCTTGAGGTCCCCCGCTGCCCCCTAGCTGAAGGCCACAGGGTTCCCAGCCTAGCACCCCCAAAGAGAGGGGCCCCGTGTCCCCAGCAGGGCCTGTCATGCCTGTGTGTGCTGCAGGCCTGAGGCTGCACGGACGTGTTCCGGTTTTGCTGAGGTATGTGCACCTGGACACGTGTGCAGGAGCCTGGCGGGGCCCGCCAGGAGTCCTATTAAGCAAACACTCAGGCTCACCCACTGAGGTCACATACATTCCGGACATTCCCTACAGACAGATGGACCGAGGAATCTGGCCGAGTTTCTCCCAGTGAGCCAGGACCCTCGGTGGCATGTGGGAGGCCCCTCACACCTCGGGTAAACACTCCCTGTAGGGACAACTGGTCAAACCAGAAAGTGGTAGGGCGCCCCACCCCAATCCCTCCCCGCCCTTGATACCAGCACCCCTGGTCCATGCCCCCCACCCTGGCATACTCAAAGGCTGGAGTCACAGAGGATGGGCCCCCGCTGGTGAGGGTTGTCAGGAGGTGGACCCTCCAGGCTTTCCCTCCTCCATCCTATGCGCCCAGGCTTCCCCTTGGGGAGCCGATCACAGAGCCACAGAGGGACAACCAGGGACACTTGCCACACAGCTCTTACAGGGACCTGGGGGCAACCCCAGGACTGCAGGTCCCCATGGGGCACAGACCCCCCAGGACACAGACCCCACGGGACAAGCCAGCTGGGCCCTTGACAGGGGCACCAGGCCCTGCTCATGCCCCTGGATGGCCCAGGATCCAGCTCAAATCAGACACCTGTCTGTCCCAGCAGCCGAGAAAATGGAGCTGGGGAGCACAGAGAAAGGCTCCCGGGATCTGCCCCTGGAGAGACCCTGCCTGGGGAAGCCCCTGGCCATGCACTGCCCCCTCTGTGCCCCCGCCTTGTCAGGGAAGGCAGTACTGCCACATGTCTTTGCCCCTGGGATGCTCCTGGGCTCCTGGTTTTGGGGAGACACTGCTGAGGCTCCCACCTCACCCTTTCCACTTCCTGCTGTAGACAGCCCCACGGCCAAGGGTGCTGCTGAGCTAGCCCTGGCCATACCCCCCAGGGTGAGGAGATGCCCACACCCCACTTCTAGACTCTCTGCGGGGTACCCAGGACCCCAGAATCCCCACCCACATGGCTGCAATTCCCTTCTGGGACCTCTTCCCAGGTCAGGCCTCCTAGGCCCAAGACGGAGCCCAGGGCTGGACCAGGCTTGCAAGGATGGGCTTCAGGTCCACGCAAGAGTCCGAGCCCCTGAACTGGAGGCTAGGTGGGGAGGAACAGCTGCAGGCTGGGGCTCCTGAGGACTTTGCCCTGGGCTGCGCCCATAGGGCCCCTCTCCCGGCCCCCTCCAAGTGCTAAGCTCCCAGTGGCCTCAGGACCTTTGAACGTGCAGTTCCTCCTGCCTGGGGAGCTCTTCCTCCCTCCAAGGCCCTTCTCACAGCCCCGCCAGCCCTGGGGGTGGGACCCATCTGTCCGCTCATCCCTGGGGTCCCTGTGGAGGGCTGAGGGTCTGGGGCAAGGTGGGGCCCTAGTGATGGCCTGCTGGGGCTCCTGGTGAATGGACACGTCTTGGGGGTGGGGGCAGGCTGGTCCTCATGTGGCCCAGGTGGCAGGGCCCTGTCCCCTGAGGACCCCTGCCTCGGCGTCTACCCTGGACTGGCACAGCCTGGGCCAGGTGAAAAGCTGAGGGTCCTGGGGGCTGTCCCCTGGCTCTGGGGTGGGGGAGGCAGAGACCCAGGCCCCGCCCTAGGAGTGCCCAGGCCACCAGCGGGGTGGGAGGTGTCAGCCTGCTTCTCTGCCCTCCAGGTGTGGGCCGGCACTGAGCCCGGGGACTTGGCCGCGCCACTGAGGGCTGCCCCTCCCTCCCAGCTGGTCACCCGCAAGGACGCCATGAGCCAGTCAGGGTCCGTGAGCTGCTGCCCGGGTGCTGCGAAGTGAGCCCCCTCCCCTCCCCATCCCACCAGCAGGCCAGGGAAGGGGGCGGGGAGATGCTGTGGCTTTCCTGCCCTCACCAGCCCCTCCTGGGGGCCGCCAAGTGAGCCCCCTCCCCTTTCCATCCCACCAGCAGGCCAGGGAAGGGGGCGGGGAGATGTGGTGGCGTTCCTTCCCTCACCAACTCCTCCCTACAGTGGCAGCCTGGGCCGGTCTGATGGGGTGGCCAAGATGAGCGCCAAGGACCTGTTTGGTGAGTCTCCCAGGTGATGTCGGCCGACAGGGTGGACTAGACAGGGAAGAAGTGGGGAGCAGCCTCAGTCAGGGAGGGGTCACAGGGGGGGCAGGAGGGGGTGTCTGTCACTGGCCCACTCCCAGTCCTTACAGTCCCCTCCCCCAAGGCTCCCCTGCCAACCTCTGCCTGCTGAGAGAGGCCGGTCAGCCTTGAGGGGCTCAGAGGAGGCCCCTGGACCCTCATTAGTCAATAGGTGGGCAAAGTCCTTCCCCAAAGCTCCGGGCCACCTCCTACCCCAACATGCGCACACTTGGTAAGGGGAGAGGCCTTTACTAATAATTCAGGGAGCATCAATATTGATTTGACTGGGCTCCTCACTGCTGCAACCGGATCGCTGGGGTGGGGGTGGGGTTCAGGCAGGACTGAGTCGCAGGGTGTCTGCTCCAGGAGGGAGGGGGCTGGCTGCCCCCTGCCCCCTGGAGGGAACCACAAGGAAGTGCTGTGGGGCAATAGGGGAGACTCAGGGCCAGTGGGCTGTGCGCTGGGGCTGGGGGCTCCATCTGCTCTAGGTGTAAATGATGTGGGAAGAGAAGGTGCCTGGGGGGCAAACCTGGGGAGCCCAGCTCTGACCATTCCCCAGCTCTGAGCTTCCCCCCAGCTCTGGCCCTCCCCGTGCCCCCATTGCTCCCCCCACTCCCAACTCTGTTTCTCCCTTTCAGCTCTGTCCCCCAGTGCCATCCCACCCCAAGTTCTGTCCTCTCACCCCTCTATCCCCCAGCTCTGTCCCACCCCAAGTTCTCTCCTCCCCCCTCTCTGTCCCCCAGCGCCATCCCACGCCAAGTTCTGTCCTCTCCCCACTCTGTCCCCCAGCTCTGTCCCACCCCAAGTTCTCTCCTCCCCCTCTGTCCCCCAGCTCTGTCCCACGCCCAAGTTCTGTCCTCCCTCTCTGTCCCCCAGCTCTGTCCCACCCTAAGTTCTGTCCTCTCCCCCCTCTGTCCCCCAGCTCTGTCCTACCCCAAGTTCTGTCCTTTCCCCCCACCACTCTGCCCCCAGCACTGCCCCACCCCAACTTCTGTTCCTTCCCCAGCCCTGCCCCCCAACTCTGCCACACCCCCTCATTTGTGCCCAGTTTAGAAAGTGGAGAAGCCCCAGGGAAGGGCAGGGAGGTTTTACCTGGCAGCTTCTAGAGTTGGGGGAAGCCCTGGCCTGGACCCCTCCCCTAGGAAGTCAGAGTGGGGGTGGGGCAACTGCAGCCTTCCAAGGCAGACTCCCCAGTCACAGGCTGCCCATCACCTCTGTGAGCCAGTGTCTTGTTGACTGACTGTGGACCCCAGGGGCTGTCCTGAGGATGGAGGGAGATGGACCCACCAGGAGGGCCCCCACTCACATCTCCGGGGGAGGGCTTCCCTTGGCCCCAGGATCTCACCCGGCTCCTTCCCGGTGGCCGTGAGGGGCCTCAGACTGCACCTCTCACCTCGCCCCCCCATGTGCCCCTTGGGGTACAGTCCCCCCTGGACTGCGAGTCAGGGGCCGCCCTCGGGGGCTGAGTGACTTTGTGTCCTGGTTCAGAGCAGAGGAAGAAGTACTCCAACTCCAATGTCATCATGCACGAGACCTCACAGTACCATGTCCAGGTGAGGCCCGCTCTTGGGGCTCCAGGGTCACAGGGCGGGTGGGGACAGTGGCAAGTCCAGGTTCTGCCATCTGCAGCGGGCGGGGCAAGGCCAGAGTCTGGACCGTTCCAGACTCGGCCGCAGTTTACGGGGCCCCATTCCACCCCGCAGAATTCACATTCCGGGGGGGACAGAAAGGGCCTCACCCCACCCTGGGAGTTCTCATTCTGGGGGACAGAGGGGGCCCTGCACTGGGGGAGACACAAACCCACGGCAGGTGTGGCCGTGGAGCTGGACCTGCAGCCCCTCGCTGGGAGGACCCAGTGGGAAGGAAATGGTTATCCTGGCCGCAAACCAGAACTAGATCAGGCAGGAGAGGAAAGCCGCCCTTCACGGCCGTGCCAGGCCTGGGGGCATTGATTCTGAGACCTGCTGCCGTGGGCCCCCCTTCACTCGAGACCAGCCGCCAGCTCAGGAGGGCACTTTGCTCTGGGTCAGGCTCATTCACACTTTGAACTCAGGAAATGAGGTTTTTAAAATGGCCTTCCTGCCCTGGAAGCTGACAGCATGTTCCTGGCCCTTGTCCAAGCCTGCAGGCAGTGTCGGGGCGTGGCGGGGAGGGGGGGGATCGAGAGGGCCTGTCACTGCCTCACTGGTTCCCCTGGGCCGTCACTCCCCGCCCCCCGCCAGGCCAGGCAGGTTGCTGCCCTGGGAAGCAAATGTTAGAATGGGTCCAGAGCTCAGTCGGTCGGAGTCCCTGCAGCTCTGGAGACGGGGTGTGTCCGGGTGACGGGCCCTCCCTGCCAGCTCGGGCAGGGCTGTGTGGGCGGCTGAGCTGGGGACTGCCAGCGGCAGCTCGGTGTCCCAGGGCAGGGCACAGAGGGGTGGATAGGCCAGCTCTCATCCCCTTCCCTCCCGGGCAGCACTGTCCTCCGGGAGCCAGAGGTGAGACTTTGCCCTGCTTGCTGATGGACCTCGAACGCCACCTGGGCCTCCCAGGCCTGGGTTTCCATCTAAGCTGGCCTGGCTCAGCCTGGTGGCTGTGGAAGGCCCCAGCCCAGCCATGGCCGGGCCCCAGTGGGGGCTTTTCCTGCCCAACCAGAGGGGTGGTGGAGTGGGCGGGGTCTTCTTGCCCCTCCTGAATGAGGAAACTGAGGCCCAGAGAGAGTGAGAGGCACAAGCTACGCCCAGGCAAGTGGGGGCAAGATCAGCCCCACTGCTGGCAATGGGGGTCGCCGTAGGCTTGTTTTTGTTCTTTTTAAAAAAGTATCATACAGCAAAACTGGTATTTTCTAGTGCACAGTTCTATGAATGTTTTGACACGTGTAGATTTGTGTAGGATGAAAGACCTGGCGATTTCCTTCCAAAAAATAAGTCAAAACCCTCTGGATCACAGTGGTGGGAGCCCATTGTGCGTGGAGTCGCCAGGAGTCAGGGCCCCGGTCCACGACGGCTAACAGCAACAGATTTTTGTAACCACCACCACAGGCAGGACACAGAACAGCCACCACCCTAAAACCTCTCTCCTGTTGCTCCTTCGTCTGCACAGCCTCCCCACCTCAACCGGGGCGCTGGCTGATCTGCTCTCCAGCCCTGTGGTTTGTTTCTTTGGGAAGGTCCTGTAAGGACCAGTTTCATTCTGCTTAGTAAACTTATTTTAAGAAAACGTGTGTAGAACGAGACTCTCAGGGCACTGGGCACGTGGGAGTGTCTCCTCAGCCAGCTGGCTCCCTGTGAGCCCTTCCAGAAGGTCTGTCCCCATGCAGCCTGGCTTCTGGTCACAGACAGACCGACAAGCTCGGTGTTGGTGGGTGAGAGTTCTTCATCTAGTGTCAGATGTATCCATGACAAATGTCTTCTCCCTGCACTTGCGATTCGTATGCACAGCTCTCTTCTGATGAGCAGAAATGTTTCATTTTGATGACATCTAATTATACCTTTTTTTTTTTTGCTTTATAGGGAGCCCTGGTGGCACAGTGGTTAAGCACTCAGCTGCTAACTGAAAGGTTGGCAGTTCAAAAGTACCAGCTGCTCCACCTGAGAAAGATGTGGTAGTCTGCTTCCATAAAGACTGTTGTTAGGTGCCGTTGAGTCAGTTCTGACTCATAGCAACCCTATAGGACAGAGTAGAACTGCCCCATAGGGTGTCCAAGGAGCAGCTGGTGGATTTGAACTGCCGACCTTTTGGTTAGCAGCAAGCTCTTAACCACCACACCATCAGGGCTTCTCCATAAAGATTACAGCATTGGAAACCCTATTGTGCAGTTCTACCCTGTCCTATAGGGTCGCTATGAGTCATAAACGACTCCACGGCAATGAGTTTGGTTTGTCTTGCTTTGCTGTTAGGGTTTTTTGTCTCCTCTCTAAGAAGTCATTGTTTTCTTCTAGATGCTCCATAGTTTACAATGTTAACATTTAGGTCTATGATCCATTTTGAATCAATTCATGTGCATGGTGTGAGGTAGGGCTCACACCATATGAATGTCCAGTTATGTTGGAAAGATTTTTCTCCCCTTAAGGAATTACTTTGGTGCCTTTGTCAAAAATCAGTTGATTGGATGTGAATGGGTCTATTCCCAGACTCCATCTGTTCCACTGATCTATTTACTACACTGTTTTACTCATTGTGGCCTTATTGTCAGAGTCCCTGGGTGGCACAAACGCTTAAGTGCTCAGCTACTAGCCAAAAGGTTGGCAGCTCAAACCCACCCAGAGGCGCCTCAGAAGACAGGCCTGTTGATCTGCTTCCAAAAGTCACAGCCTTGAAAACCTTGTGGAGCAGTTCTACTCCACACAGACAGGGTCACCATGAGTTGGAATCGACTTAACAGCAACAACAAAGCTTTACTGTCACTCTTGAAACCAGGTAATGAAAGACCTCCAACTTTGTTCTTTCTCTTCAAGATTATCTTGTCTACTCTAAGTTCTTTGGACTTGCATATAAATTTTAAAATCAAATGGTCCATAATTTATTTCCAATTGTTTGGTGCTAGTATATAGAAAAAACAATCGAATTTTTGTGTATTGAGCAGATATCCTGAGACCTCGCTGAATTCACTTATTTGTTGTAGTGATTTGTTTGTAGATTAACTGGATTTTCTACTTACACAATCATGTTGTCTAAAAATAAAGACAGCTCTTCATTTCATTCATTCTTTTTTTTTTTTTTTTTTTTGCTTCATTGCCCTGGCTGGGATCACCAGCACAATGGTAAACAAGAGTGATGAGAGTGGACATCCTTGCCTTCTGTCCGATCTTAGAAGAAGGCATCCAATATTCCAGTATTGTTTGTTGTATATAGTGTGGATACTTTTGATTAGATTGAGGAAGTTTCTTTCTATTCCCCGGAGTGCGCGTTTTTATCATGAAGGGATGTTGAATTTTGTCAAATGCTTTTTCTGCATCTATTGAGATGGTCATATTTTTTCTCCTTTAATCTGTTAGTGTAGCAAATCATATTGATTGATTTTTTTTTGAATGTTGAACCCACCTTGCATTTCTGGAATAAACCTCATTTAGTCATGGCGTATGACCCTTTTTATGTGTTGATGGACTAGATTTGCTAATATTTTGTTAAGGATTTTTTGCATCCATGTTCATTAGAGATACCAGTCTGTAATTTTCATTTCTTGTAATTCCCTTGTTATGGTATAAAGGTTAATTTGGCCTTATAAAACAAGTTGGCTACACACAAGCAATGAGAAATCTGAAAGGAAAATTAGAGATACAATTCCGTTTACAGTAACATCTAAGAGAATAAAATACTTAGGAATAAATCTAACCAGGGACTTGGAGGACTTATACAATGAAAACTACAAAACACTGCGGGAAGAGATTAAAGAAGACTAAAATACATGGAAAGATGTTCCATGTTTATGAATTGCAAGACTTACTATTGTTAAGATGTCAGTCCTACCCAAAGGGATTTATAGATTCAATGCACTCCTGATCAAATACAAACTGCCTTCTTTACAGAAATAGAAAAACCAATCCTCAACTTTGTATGGAATGGCGAGAGGCTCTGAATAACTAAAACAATGCTGAAAGAGAAAACAAAGTAGGATGACCCACACGTCCTGATTTTAAAGCATACTATACAGCTATGGAAACTCTGGTGGCTTAGTGGTTAAGAGTTACGGCTGCTAACCAAAAGGTCGGTAGTTCAAATCCACCAGGTGTTCCTCGGAAAACCTATGGGGCAGTTCCACTCTGTCTTATAGGGTCACTGCGAGTCAGAATCAACTTGATGGCAACAAGTTTGGTTTTTTTTTTTTTTTTTTTTGGTATGCTACAGTAGTCAAAACAGCCTGGTACTGGTATAACAATAGATGCATAGACCAATGGAATAGAATTGACAGTCCAGAAATAAACCCACGCATCTATGGTCAACTGATTTTCGACAAGTGCTATTTCCATTCAATGGGGAAAGAAGAGTCTCTTCTATAAATGGTGCTGGGAAAACTGTATTACCACCTGCAGAAAAACAAAACAGGATGCATGCCTCACACCAGACACAAAACTAAATTCAAAATGGCTTAAGGACCTAAATGTGCAAATTAAAACCATAAAATTCTTAGAAGAACAAGAAGGGGCAACGCTGTCAGGCCTGGCTTTCAACAATGGATTATCTAAGATAATAACAAAAGCACAAACAGCAAAGGACAAAATAAATAAATGGGACCTCATAAAAATTAAAGTCTTTTATTCTTCAAAAGACCTTACCAAAAAAGTGAAAAGGCAAGCTACTGACTGAGAGAATATCTTCAGAAACCATATACTTACAGGAATCTAATAACCAAAATATATATAACACTTAGACAACTTAACAACAAAAAGACAACCCAATCATAAAATGAGCAAAAGACTTGAATAGACATTTCACCAAAGAAGGCATTCAAATGGCCACCAAACACATGAAAAGATGCTTAGCGTCATTAGTCATCAGAGAGATGCAAACCAAAACCACAATGAGATACTATTTCACTCCCACTAGGATGGCTCTGGTCATGCAGTGATTAAGA